CATGCTTAAAGAAAAATAAGCAATTTTAAAATAAGGAAGGATTAATTGAATAACCGTAATGCAATTTTCAATACAGTTCTTTTAATTTAGAAATTCATAAAAGGAGACACTGATATGAATAATATAATCATGTACGTATATACAATAAAGAGAATTTTCAATTCGTATTGTGTTCGAATCGTATCTAGTTCTATCGCGGTATTTAAATTGATGTAAACTGTTTCTCAAGTTTCCCTAAACAAGAATTAATTAATTAATCTGTACACGCTAAAAGTCGTAGCCTTTTGGACATCGAGTGATACGTACGTATGTATACTTCGCTTTTGCCACGATTTTCAATTATCCGTAACTTTTAATTGAAATATAATGTAAATAAATAACTTTTAAACAGTAGTTCGTTAAAATATATCGAATAGTTTGAGAGTTTTTGCTTTTGTTAAGACGTGAAAGCATGAAAGTTCATATGTACGCTCGATGCCCCTAGAAATGCGATTCCTATAGAAACTGCTGTAAGGGAGTCGATCGAAGATTTTCTTAAGAGACTTGTGAGTTTCAGAATAAAATTTCTCATGTGTCTTCAATACTTTGTATACCTTATTTATTTTCTTTTTTATCTTCGTATAATAATCATAAACGTACAATTTGAAACAATAGTGCTCGTGTATGAGTGTACGTGTGTATGTGTATGCAATGTACAGGATAATCTTTAAGCTATAATACAATTTGAAATGAAATACAAATCAATAAACTATTATGTTAGGTAAACCTTCTCGTCACGTTTCTTCTCTTTTAATACAATTATTTTCGCTACTGAATGACAATGTTGTTTTCTCGGCATGTAATACATCGCTTGTCTCGTCCTATCTTATCCTCCCCAAATACGTTCTCCCCTTATTTTTCGTTTTTTGATCATTTCACGCGTAAGGCGCGTTATTAAAGAGCCTCGATAACTATTTCAGCTTTTTTTCTTTATGCTTCCCAACGTCTATCTACAGTTATCCTTTTTTTGTGTCTTTCTTATTACTTATCTTTTCCCCTTATTTTGTCGTCGCTTCTGTAAAATATTCATTATTAAGTTTACGATATGATTTTCCCTCCTCGCGGTGATCCTTAAGCAACCTCCGCTCGTTCGTTCGTCGCACGAACCTCTCGCACTCTGTTATATTACAAATTCCTCACCCGAAAGTCGGGCGTACGCTTAGAAAGTTACCGTTTACCGCTTAAATAATTAAAGCTATCTGCTATCTAGAGCTTATTCGGTATCTACAGAAGAACTTATATGTCTCGCGTCTCACGTTCGAAGAAATAAGAGGAAAAGAAACGATGAAGAGACCACGAAAAAGAGAAATGTAAGATTAACGGGAGCGAAGGAAAACAAAAGGGATGTACATGAGGGTTGCCGATCGTCTCCGGAAGATCCGATTACACGATTATTTGATCAGCTGCGCGATCGGTGACGATCGACTAGTGGGAATTCGCCTCGTAACCAAACGAGATTGACGGTCGGAACAGTCTCATCGGGCTGGAAATTCATTTTACAACCACTGCACGCATCCGAAATCGCCTTCCCACGTCTTCATATGTATATTCTTATTCTTAGTTTATTGATTTGATATTAATAATTGTCATTGCGTTTGGTTCTCCTTGGGATTCCCGGTTTGTCTTTCACGATCTTTTGGCAGCCCTATGCGACTGGTCGATATCATTAAGTTACGGCGACAATATTCATAAAACGTAATAATAATAGTACTAGGTGATAATGATAGTAATCGTAATATTAATGATAATCATAGCGGTTGTAGCGATAATAAGAATAATAAGAATTAAAATAATAATAGTGGTAATAATAATATTAATAATCGAACGTGAAGAATAATGAGGGGCGACGGTAATAATTATTAGTGATAGTTAGCGTGAAAGATGGTAGTAGCGTTTGTATACGGTTCACACTAATTCCCCGATGGTTACTAATTCGCGAAGGAAAAAAAGAAACTAAATTGAAACGAAGAATGTCGGATCACTGGTCTCTCAATTAACAATGCCCTTTTTTTGTTTAAAGTGTTTCTCTCACTGGTTGGCTGTCTCGCTCACGCATCAGATTTTTATTTCCCATTCGCTCTACCATTCTCTCTCGTACATTCATTCATTCGGTCTTTTTTCTCTCTGCCACTCAAGCATCCCTCTCGTTCTCTTTCGTTCCCTTTCGCCATCGTTCGTTTAAATTGCGGACTAGAATTTAATCGAAGACTAAAATTTAATCTGGTAAATACAAGTTTGATTCGTAATATCGAAGATAACTTTTGCCCTTTCTCCTCCCTGTTGTACGCATACACTCCAGCACGCTCTCATTCACCCTCTTGTACACATCCTCCCTCCCACTCAGGCATCGATAGTGTACGGTAATTCTTTTAATTACGTTTCTCCTCTGTGTTTTTAACGCGTATCACCCTTAACGCCGCGTTTCCACGTGTGTATATAATATATATAATAATATTTTCCCTCGTTAAAAACCGGGTAATTTTCGATTTTCTCTCACTTATTTGTTCACCGATGATCGATTCCGTACTGTCGTTCGACCGCCTGGTTGGAAGCTTGGCGTTAAGTGGATCGTTGTACGCACCCGCTCTTACTTCTGTGTAAATATACCGCTATTACAGAGTTAAGTGTGGTAATTAAGTATAATATACAAGTTTATGTATGTGTAATGTTTCGCATGTTTTCGAGTTTTTCCTTTTTCTCTTCTCTCTCGTTTCTCTTCATTTTGTACAACTATTTACAAGTGGATGCGAGCTTTTCATGATGCCACGCTTTTATAACGTCCGATTTTTAACATGCCGGCGCACTTTTCATCGCACGAAAGAAGGCCCAACCAGCCTCCCACGCACATCGCTGTGTTCTCTCGTTTTCCCCTCCCCACTTTTTTTTTTACCGTGCCATCGCATATAAGCTCTATCACATTGGCTTTACAAGCCGTGTCGTTATCGCGATAAGAATTCGAGTCGTAATAAAATAATATAATATAATTAATAATAATATGAATAATAATAATAAAGGTCGTAATAATAATAATAATAATAATAATAATAATAATAATAATAATAATAAAATAGCAGCGATAACGTAAGCCTAATAATACGGTAATATTGGTAGTAACTGATAACCTCGATCATCGATCGTTTTGTATAATAATTACCTATCTTTCTCGCTTTTTCTCTTCCCTTCTATGGAAATAGAAAAAAGACATAAAGAATTATTTGTAAGTGGACAGATTTTTGCTTGATCCTGCGTTGCACTTGTCCATGTGGGAATAGCAAACGGAAATCACACGTGTGCGCCGAAATATAATTAAAAAGGAAAATAGAATGTAGATAACAATGTTAACCAATTCCTAAAGTGATTAATGGTTGCTCTCCCGTGGGTCGATGGACGAGCAGGAAGGCAGGAACAGCGAAAGGACATGTTTTTTTTCTCTTCCTCCTAATCGTTTATACTATTTTTCCCTTTTCTTCTTTACGAAAGACGACGCGCCTATAACTGAACAGACAAAAAAAGGTACGTAGTCGGAGAGCGGAGTGTAATAACATTAACAGCTTAACGACTATGGGATAGGAGAAGTATATAAACAATATAACATGAATCACAATTATGCAATAATTATTAATCGCTCATCTTCGTCGCGTAATTAGATAAAATTAATAATAATTCGATCTAACAATTGTGGTTACTCTCACAGATTGCACTCTATAAACCCGGACCATTTCCGTTCGCTAATTTCTTTTTTCTGATCGTTTCCTCTTTTCACTGTTCGATTATTTTTTTCATCCTTGCGATCCCACCCCAGAAATCCGCTGAGAAAAATAAAAACGGAAGCGGCCAGGGTTTCTTCAGATATTTTCGAATGTGCGACGAACGCCTATTTCCCGTTTATTTCTTTCTTTTTCTTTCTTAATTCCACAGGCTGTCCCGTCGCGTCACAGTCTTCTAATAATATTACGAATCCGCCGAACGTACACACCACACTAATCCCATCTCGCACAGATTACAACGTGTTACGAAAAAGAGTTCCTTTTGATTGAGCTCCGTCTTCTTTGATCAGCAGCGTCTAGCTGTAGTAGTCTTCGAAGGTTTAACCGACATGACAGTTCAGCACACATCCCGTGTACGCGTGTGCGTGTGTCTTTTCTATTTTGTTTATCGTTTCGTTTCACGTATCCTACTTTGTATTTGCCTCCCTATGATAATGCCCTCGTGGTAGGCAGGAATCGACCGACCAGGCCTGGCCGAATCCTATGACTGGTTTTCCCTTTTTAAGAACTTAACTAGGCCATAATCCTCAGCAGAACGGAACCGTACGCTTTCGCAGCATCATTTTGGCATGTTTTCAATATCTTTTCTCTCTTTTCAGTCTATCCCCGATCTTGTGAAACACCATCATCATGGTTGAACGATAAGAGATTTACCTAATAATCCCACGCTTCCTCCGGTTCGTGTTTCACCACGCTCTCTTTGGGACTTTCTTCGGCCGACTGCTGCGTTTGTTGCGTGGAAGGCGGCCTCGGCGATGTTATCGGACTGTTCTGTCCAGACTTCGGACTGGGAAGAGGGCTATCCCGATCCTGGCCGTTGTTTCCGGAGACCGACGACACGTCGCTCTGCGCGTCCTCCTCGTATCTGTCCTGTACCGGAGTCGGTTCTACCCTAATCGTCTCTTCGGCCTCTCGCTTCACCCCGTAATCATCCGTTTGCATCACACAAACACCGTTGATGATCACTTCGTCACCCGTTCTAGCCGGTTCTTGCCATTCGGGATTGACCCACTGTGGCGCCGCAGGTTTTCTCCTATTCGATCTGGCAGTCGCCGGCGCTGTAGGCGTCTCCGCTGGTTCCCGTTTTATACTCCCCGCCGATCCTTCCGAGTCTTCGCTGCCCAGATTGCTCATTGCGTCCTCCACGTCCTCGTCCTCAAACTCCTGATTCGGCTCCCTCTTCAGCGCGTTCATCGACAGGTCCAGGCCGGAGCACTGTTCCTTCAACGCGTTCCCTACTAAGGCAGCCAAGTTCGGATTGAAGTACGGGGAGTAAGGTAGAGGTACGTTGCCCAGGCCCAGTCTCTCTTTCTGGATCTCCAACAGTCTTTGGTTTAACAGCAATCTGAACTGAACCGGGTCGAATGGTTGGCCGGGTTCTCTCGGTGATTGGGGTTCTGGTTGGCCGTGCGGCGTGTGCTGCTTCAGTCTCATCCGATGATTGTGAAACCAGTTTGTTATCGTTCGCGAGGATAACGCCAGCTCGCCGGCGAGGAATTCGATGGTGGCTACGTTCGGATATGGATCGAGAGCAAACGCGAGCCTGAGGGCTTCCTTCTGCTCTTCAGAGAACAGAACCCGTTGCTTTTTAGCAGAAGCCGGTCCCGGACCGGGCGAGGCTGCGTGGTAGAACTCCGCCGTGTCGTTGCTTGACGTGTCCGAGCTGTTATCGTGACCCGGGCCACTGCTACGCCGTCTTTTGTTCGCTTCTCTGCGCTCATTCTTTAGCGCCTGCAATCGGTCTACGTTGTGTGCATCGGACAGCCATAATTGCATTCGGATGAACGGTTCGCGCCCCTTTATGCTCAGCATATGCCAAGGTTTCGGTTTGCTTAGCAGTTCGCTGACCGAACCTTGCGACAGTCCGAGTACGGCTTCGCCGAAGATCTTTTGACCGATGTTATTGGCTAGTAACGCTTCTTTGATCTTCGTCGTGATCGTCTGGGTGTCGAGGTCCTGCGTCAGCGCGGCCATTTCGTATACACTAGGCGAGATGTGTGGATGAAGTCCGCGTAGAGGCGACGGGGTCATTTGAGGGTGCGGGGAATGGAGATTCATCTGCTGTTGCTGTTGCTGCTGTTGCTTCTTCTGCAGCTCTTGCATACTCAGTTGCGAATGAGGATGATGGGGACCCGGTGGTGTTAACATCATCGGCGGCGGTGGTTGCGGATGTTGCGGAAGTTGAGGACTCTGCTGAGGTGGGCCGAGTTGTATTTGGTTCTCCTGATGTTGCGCTGCCGCCTGGGCGGCCGCCTGCGCGGCAGCCTGAGCCTTCGCTGCGTTTTGAAGTTGTTCTTGTACTAGCTTGGTCGGAGGCATCGGTTTCATAGGTGTCCCACAAGCTGTGGAAGCGAACGAAAAGAACATTGACATTATTTTATGCGAAATCCCTGAGTTATAGTCCGAAAGCTCACTTTGACGGACGTCAGAATGTTGCTTCGTTAGATTAAAGGGTATCTGTTAACAAACATCTTTTACTCTCGTACAAAATCATTCCTCTTTTTTTTTATCAGAACAGCAGCATTCAGCACACAGTATCGAGCTCCCAAACTATTAGTAAAATAACAAAACATCTATATTGACCTGAGTTAAACTTACGAGGCAGGCCACCGTAGCCGCCGGTCCTCATCAGCTTCTCCGGTGCGATCTTATATTGGCTGGCAACTAATTTGTGCACCGCGTTGTCGTCCTCGAGGAACATTTTCATTCTGATAAACGGTTCGCGGCCTTTCTGCGTCAGCATATGCCACGGTTTTGGACGCGCTAACAAGTCAGAAACTGATCCTTGCGACAGACCTAGCACGGACTCGCCGAATAAACGTTGGGAGATGGAATACTGAGATAGCTGTTCTTTCACCTGTAAAAATAAATATTTTCAAGTTAGCATCGTGTTGTAAACAGTTGCCCATAATTTATGAAACAAAATTACAGATTAAGTCGGAAATAAGAGTGGGTTGTAAATGAAAATTATTTTTTGTACGCTTAATAATTTGAATTGGTAATAAAACTTACTCTTTTAACAATATCCTCGGTGTTCAAGTTATTGTACATGTCGAACTGTTGCTGAGTGATGGGAGGAAGTACTGCTTTGAGTGGCCTCTGGTTGGCCGGATGATGGGTAGGCGTGGACGGTTGACTGATCAGACTATTCGTGATAGAGGCCATCCTCTGAAGAGGACTGGCCGCCGCGGCACCCGAGAACTCTTCGCTAGGTGTCATCGCCGGTGGAAGAATCGAGTTGCCAAGCGGTGAACTTGCGCTAGATCCACCTGGCGTTGACTGGGGTGCAGTGGTTGGTTCCTGTTTTGGCCTGACCAACGAGAAAGCACTTCCTGCGTGTCTCATCGCTTCCTCCATCTTCTCTTTCTCCTCCTCGGTGACGCCGTTTATTATTTTGTTCCTCGGATCGACCTTGCCCAGGCTCAGATCTTGAACGCCACCACCGCCGTTCGTCGCCAATTGATGTTGTTGAAGAGCCTGTTGCTGAAGAGCCAGGAGACCGGGCAGACCGGGTAATCCCGGCAGTCCAGTGAGCGATGGATTCTGGCCCGGCGTGGCATTCAGCTTTTGCAGTTCTCGGTGGTACGCATCCAACGCCAGCCGGATGTCCTCTTGCGTACGTTCTATACCCTGAAGTCCGCCTTGGGCGCCGCTGAAAAAGTGCGGAAACATCGCGCTACAATTAATCGAGGTCGCGTGCTGTCCTCAATAATAATCAATCGCGAAGACTCGCGGACAATAGCGTCGCACGATCGGCATGTAACCCGAGCTTTCGGCCAAAAAAGCTCGTGTTTACACCTGACATTTTCGTGTTAAGTAACGAAACAGATATAGCGGCACATTAATTTTAGCTTGCATACGTCATCCGCGTTCGGCATAGTTCTCCGTTGCGCGGCCGGTATCTGCCGTGACTCACAAGATCTATGGGATGCGCTTGCGGGCTTTGATAGATAGCAAGCTGACGCGTATCAAGAATCTTTAACTCTTCAACGAGAGTTATACTTGCATACAAAATTTCCGGGTGATTTGATTTTCGAATTCCATAAAAATTGACGGACAAACAATAGCAATGATAAGCTAAATCATAGTCTCGTATGCACCGTTTATCGAACCTATACTGTAGACTTTACAGCATGTTAAAATTTTTCTAGTTCCATGTGATTAGACTGAAATAGTATTTGAAGTCCTATTGTAATTAAGGTAGCTCGATAGCATTTGCGAAACATATACGATTTTAATACAAGTTGAACAATAGTTAAAGTTTTGAACTTTCATTTTCCGTAAAGAAAATATAGGATTTCCGTGAAAATTTAAAAAAAGAAAATGCATTAGAAAATTCTTATTTTTAATACGGAAGTTTATGGGAACTTTTGTATAAATGCCTCGTGCGATTTCATATCATATACGTTTTCAACAAAACCATAGATGGTTATAGATGATGTAAAGAAAAATATAGGTTTCTGTGGAAAAGAATGAAATAATAATGATCAAAACCAATAAATAATACTTATATCACTCCATCATCACCCCAGTCGTAAATAAAATAATTTATCTTTTGTTTTTAGATTTTGATTAGATAGACAAATTAGGTATAAGACAAAATTTAACAAAATAAAAAGAAGTTGTTTATTTTACTTTGGGTATATCTTTTTTAGTAATATAAGATTAAAATATATGAATGTGAAAATGATAATGTACATTTAATAATGAAATTTGCACTTCATATTCTTATTTTAAAATAAGCCCATTGGAGGACTCACATTTGATACGTTACCCAAGTATCGAGCTACCTTAAGGTACATAATTCTTTTTGAAAATATTTAAATATATCTAGGTACACCATGGGGTTTTAGGATGTCCAAAAAAAAGTCAAATATTGCTCGTGGAAAGATCGAGCCTTACCTGGAGGAAAACTCTCTCGGTCCACGGAGATCCTCGACTCTTCGGCCCATCAGCTTGGCTAGTTCCTCTTGATAGATCCTAACTACCTTCTCCTGTGGAATGTCATCGTTCTCATATTTCTTCAGTCTCCTATTTTGATTGTCGAGCCTGTCTTTGTTAAAGGGGCTCGGGCAACCGATTCTGCTCGGACTCTTACTGTCCGCGTCGTTCGACATCTCCTGCTCTCCCCTCATCTGTAGATGGCCAGATTCCGAGAGAATGTGCGCCAACCTTTCGTCACTCATTTCCGGCGGGCCACCTTCCTGTGGAGCACGCGCGAATGCTGGCATTCCCTGCTCCTTGCCTGAAACATACTCTACGGGTGAGGCACAACTTGCGGTGCGTTCTTACTCGGTTTGGTCTTATATATAATAAAAAAAAACATATGTAAAAGTTATGTGAGGTATCTAGTACAATAAATACTGAGGAATATTTGTGCGGTATATGTGTGATAAACTAGCTCTTAAATCAAACTGATCTACAATTTCTACAAAGCATTTACTTAAAATACCTTAAAAGTTTCAAAGAAAAAGCAATAAAGATAAAACATTATTTCATTCACGCTGTTTGCCAATATAACGATCTCATAGAAACTGTGTCCAATTAAAATTCATATTCTTCCATTCATAACTTCAATACCGCAGGTTATTGAAAGACGGGCGGAAATTCGATAAGGAGACGGCACCGATGTAACTAATCAGGCCCGAGGGTTGATTCCACGTTCGATCGAACGTAGAAGCACTTAATACAACGCAAAATCAATAATACCGAAGCTTGAAGCAGCGAGGGTAGAGACATAACATAGCGACGATAATTAAAATATCCTTTTCTAGAACCTCGCCCTTGCGGCCTGCCTTCCCCCCCATTACACGTAGCCAAGAGTGTACTTCTACTACGTGTTTCCCGTATAATTGACCAATCAGCCGTAAGATTCGGACGAATGAACCATCGATCATATCTTTGATTGCTTCCGTACCGATGGTTTCTCATGTGCGTTCGTATTTTAATTACGAATCAATGCGTTTTCCGATTCGCAAGATGGAAATCTACTCGTCAGACCGTCTAGGACTTAGGGAAACGAGAATACTATGCAAAAATTATTTAATCGTTTACAAAAGAAATTTTATAAACTACGTATTTATCTGAAAATACGTCTTCCTCCTTATTTTTAAATTAATTAATATTATTGTAGGTGTCAATGTATGGTTCAAAAGACAAGCCGACTAAATAAAAAATGAAAGACAATTCCGTACTTAACTATTTCTCCTCTACAGTTTACTCTTCTTTAAAAAAATCTGTTTCGATCTTATTACTAATTTTCCCAATAAGAAATGCAATTATACATGTACCTATTATATTTTTTTGCTGGAGGGTGAAGTGAATTGATACCGAAATTACACTTTCACTGTGCTCGAGAACTAGAATAGAACGGAGTCTCTTTCTTTTTCCTCGACGCGGGGAAGTAACGTGGTGTTGAATGCGAGGCGCAAGAGGAAAAGATTAATTGGTCATTAAGGTCGGAATGTAGACGGCGATCCAAGAAACTGATGTTACAGTTATCGCGAGAATATCGGGCCGACGGAAAACGTTTCAAGAAATCGACAATGTGGTGGGTGGAAACATTACGAGGACAATGACGACAGTCGAGGTCCGTCTCGTTGTTGTATGGCAGAGCCGAGTACGAAATGTGTACACGTACGCGGCCCGTACGCGTGTATCGTATCACGACGTTTGAATTCGTGCCAGCAGACTTCGACTTATACCAACCTCCTCTTTTACGTACCCATACGATATTTTCGTGAGTCTGCGACAACATTTTAACGACTGAATCGGCTGGTTCCGAGGCTGATCATAGAAACTCAATTCGATTCTACCTGTCGCGAAATTCGAGCACTGTACATAAATGTACAGAATGCATTCGTCCTCGAAAGAATCTAATTTTATAAAGAAAAAGCTACCTCTTTCATACATATTTCAATGCACTTCGGGATACAACTACATATTTTATAATATGCGGATATATTCGTCGTATTGAACACTTAATCTTTAGAAGTATTGACGACTTTTATATATTTCTTGAAATAACTAAATTCCTGTATATGTTTTGTAATATTGCTACATCAAGTTTTATAGTGAGACGATATGTTTGTAGCTGTGGATGGATAGATCGATGAAAAATGTATTTCTAGTTGGATCGGTAGCAGAGATAACAGCTGTGATAAAAAACGACTAAGGTCATTATTATGCGTTAGTTCTTTCCTGTAGGCGAGACTTTTTTTGTGGTTACGCTGATGAAATTGACATTATCGTTATCGGACGGAATACAGATTAACGCACTGCGGTGAGAACAACGATACTCTGTGACACGTTACGTACAAAGATTTATCGGTTCGAATTACCACCGAGTTCCTGCATTAATATCGCTTTTTCTTTACGCCGCATCTGTATTCATAATATCAGCGGATACGCGCGAATGTTTTATCGCGAATAGTTCGTCCTATACATATCAGGAAAGACGCAAATATTGTATAATGATAAGAGATTGACGATTCCACTTATAACCAAGTTTCCTTGTATCACATCTGTTACAAATGAACTAATGAAGAATGTTTAACAATAATAAAGTATATTTATTGTTCAGAAACTTTGAGATTATTGATTCGTATAAATGAATCGTGACTGAATCGTATAAACGATAATGAATCTACATGAATTATAGATCTTGATGTGCGTTTTACGTGAGAATCCAAGTGATATAAGTGATATTTTTCTAAAACGGGTTGGTTTTAAATATCTCCGTTTAACACGAATTATTGAACTGTCCCTTGTCGGAGACGTAAGAAGTCTACGGCATAATTAATAGTCCTTCATGTATAACAAACTCAAAAAACATAATTATCTCAGTTGTTTTCAAAATTATGCCGTGCATTCCCATGCACACATGTACAGAGTATGAATAGGCAACGAATAAAGTAGGTGTCACGAGTTCGTTGTTTCCGTTGCGCGCGCGGTCTTGCCACCATCGTTTCACCCGGATGATGAAACGTCACGGTTCGTTCGTTCAGATCGCATCAAGGCATCAAAGACCTGGTTGGAATCGTCGAAAGAAAGAACAAACAAGCTCGTAAGGACAATGACCAGAGGCCATACAAGAAATCCATATTGCGATTTAGGTTTGGCCGACATACCATGGAAGCCAAGTAAATACCATAAATTGAAATTTTTATATGTATAATGCTATATATGATTGTGTCATTATTATATGGCAAAGAACTTGATCGGTTGTTATAGTTGTATGAAACGTCTAATGATATAACAAAGGATAGTTAAAACAAATATATTTCAATTATTGTACGTCATAAAACGTCTGAGAATCAATGTTACTTTCTCAAATCGTAGTATATCTTAAATCGTCTTTTAAAACAGGCTTACTAATGGACAATGGCATGTTGCAAAATTTCGAACGATTATGTGAGAACCTGATACTCCAGTCTGCGGTGTTAAAAAAAGAAACGGTTGTTACGAAAACGCTTGTTCCCGATTACAACGAGATTCCTTACGCCAGTCGTGTTTGTCGGCTGATCCATGGAGAATAGGTACACGTGCCTACGTAACTGACAGAAATCAGAAACGATGAAAAATAGACTCATGTGAACTGGCGTGCGCAAGTTCTTGTATTCGTGAGCCATAAACAACACTTCTCGTTGAGAATGGAAGATGGAACGGCCTGGCTAAATATCTAAGGAAGTGAGCAACTCCTGCATAATTATGGCTGTGAATTCTTTTTTTAGCTTGCGTATCAAACAACGTTCCGTGTGTATAAATGAACAATGTAAGATTGACAATATTAATTTTCTGTGATTTGAAAGGACCGATTGAGCCGGTTTTTTGATTCCATCGTAAGAACGTGCAATATTTGCGCGGTTAGCGACGCTGAGAAGCCGTACGCTAAGTACAAGCGGAAGGATACAACCGGATTAGAAAATCTGATAAACCTATATGAAGCAGTAGCCTTGCTAATGAACGTAACTCTTTCGCGTTGCGCCGCGGTCTATACGCGGCTATTTCTCTTCCACGCGTACAAGATCTGCGTGGCTGCGTATAGCGCGTTTAATTGACGGTGAAATACGCGACGCAGTCGCGTCGGGGGTTTCTTCTTTGAATCGTACTTCACTGCAAACGCCACCGGAAAAACCGGAGAAAAGAAATTCGGAGCAGCCGCGTCGCTTGTGCTCGCGGAAAATCAACGTTGAAATCAACAGATATAAATGCAGAAATCTGTTTATTTTTTTTTTATTAATAAATTAGAATCATTTTTAAAAGATCTATGATCTTTTAATTCTTATATGCGGGATTGTGTCGAGTCGGACTATGAGTTATCATTATTGATCGTAATTGAAGGAAATAAGAAATCTGATGTTTGAAATAGAAATTGGAAATTAATTAGCGAATGTCCGAAGATAGATAATTCTTTATATTGACATTACGAAACATTTATACAGTCGACCATTTTACAAGGTTTCATTCATTGAAAAATCGCAGTGCCTGATTTTTTCACTCCCTACAGAGTTAGATTTCGAAATCGCAATCGCGCACTGATAATGCTATCTCTGCTGGATTGGGTCAATGAACGTTGTAATCGCGCGCTAATTATTTGCTTTAAACTATGATTCCGTATGAAATATTACTTCTCATGAACGTTTCAAGATAATTTTAAAGGAAAATCGCTTCAAAATTTTGTCGAACAATCCTGCGTATTGTTGTTTATACAGTTTTATAGATTCGCGATTGCTTAATTTTCTCAACCAGACGTTGGCTTCTGCAAGTTTGAAAATTCAAAATCATCGTGCTCTGTTTCCCTTATAATGTAAGTACATATTTAGTCGAGCGAATTCTCAGCGAAGAGGATATAAGAAGCATACTTGAAGCCGCGCAGTAGAACACTTTTACAATTATAATCATACAATTAGAGTCCTGCGATTATAGTGATGTATATCTGGGTTTCGATAAACGGAGCACGCTCCAAAGGGTAAATGAATTAAAAAAGAATTCTAGCGATTTCAGATAATTTCAAACAACAGACAGCGTCTGAGTTAATAAGGACTGAATAATGAATCAACCAGAGCCACATAGAGGAATAAAACATATAATCAGCACACCAGGAACCTAACCATTTTTCATTTAGCTATTAATATACCGATCTATATATTTCTTCTAACGAGGTGTTTCACATTAGCTATATTCTTTATTCACTGATTGTAAATCTTTCAATTTCTTATTAAACATCTTTCTGTTAATCGAATTTTATAGATCACGCATATTTGTTTTTCTTTTTTAATCTGGATCATAAAAATAGCCAGTCTTATGTCGTTAAATACAACACGTGTATTAGTCATTTGAGAAGTTAAGATCGAAAATGCAGGTGTAACTAAAATAAAGAAAATCTTGCGATAGATTAGACTTGGACCGGCACCAACTATCTTTATTGCGGTAATCTCGGAGGTGCGTTGCTCTTGGACTAACCGCGCTTAGATCAATTGTGTTATACCGCTCACGGGCAATAATAAACGGCCTGAAGCGGCTCGTTGAATAGCGGGCGAAGATCCAGGTAGCATTTGTCATAGGATTAGTAAAGTTCGCACGACTTTTTGCGATACAGAAAATATTCACGTGCAAAACTAAATATACTTGCTCGTGGGTGGTGTTTCTAACTTGCAAAAGTGCGATTATTTAATGGTTTACGACACCTTCGATCAGATGCCGAATGATTTGTAAGTGAACCAGTTTTTGATATCATATTTTCGCGTCGTCTAAATTATTTAAATGATGTTTCATATCGTACAAAACGTGACGTCTTTACGAGAGAACAACGTCCTGAAATAAATTAGAATTTCAAGTCTGCACTCAATTGAACGTAATTTTATCATCCTGGTGAAATGAGGAATAAATTTATTCTTTTCAGAGGATCAATTTAGAAACGATTCTCTGGTCTGTGTTTTACTTTCTTGAAATCGATACGCTATTAAGTAATGATTAAATAAAGATATTCCATGTATTATCTTCCTTTTTTTAAAATGAACTCGTTCAGTTATCGATTATTTATTAAAAGTGTGTAGGTAAAACGAGCGACTAACTGCTGCAGAGATTCTTTGTATCAGCTCCTCTATTAAATCTCCATCGGAAATTTATTTATTACCTTTGAAATATCGTCTTTTCAATTCGAGATAAAAGCATCGATTTTTGTCCATAAATCGTGACCGATTATATAGAAGTTTCGAACAATGAAGCGGGTACGTTTATTCAATTGAGAAGCAACCGACGACTCGTTCGTGGCACAAAGAGCTCGTTGCAACCGTGAACAAGAACTTCGTGCAATAATTAGCGATTAAAACGTTTGCCGAATGACGCTACATTTTTCTTTTCCTTCCTTTTTTAAATATCGATAGCAATTAATCTGCTCGACTGTGAACCATCGGAAACGAGCGCACTTATTAATCTCTCTTTCATTCAGCTCAATGAGTCCTTAATTAATTCCTTAATTGATGCAATATTACAAAAGATTTTATGCAAATTGATTACAAGTTCCTGATACTGTTCTTGTTGCTTCTTTTTTAAATCTTATACAGGGTGGTCCACGCAACGTGTGCACCGTTATAACTTCCAAAATATGCGTTGCACGAAAGAATGTTATATACAAAAGTTACATGGTTTAAAAAGGTACACTATGTAGTGCGTTAATTTTTTTTATAGGTAGAGGCGTTTCGGAGATTTGAAGGTCAAATAATTCAATACTCTACATATATACAATACGATACTTTACCATATATTGGTATAAAAAATATAGTATTCTGTTTAAAAAAATAAAGTTGACCTTGAAATCTCCGAAATGCCTCCACCTATAAAAAAAAATTGACGCACTACATAGTGTCGTCTTTTAAACCATGTAACTTTTGTATGTAACATTCTTTCGTGCAATGCATATTTAAGAAGTTATAATGGTGCACCCATTGCGTGGACCATCCTGTATATTCATAGTTGACTAATACTTTACCGATTCGAATACTTGTTTAAAGTATCTCGTTCACTTGAAAATATGAATTACGACAGAACAAGAAATCATCAATATTCGCAATTTTTCACGTTACTGATTATTAAAAAAACGCACTGATTGAAACTCTCAATTTGGACTATTACATAATTTTAATAGTTCCCCCTCAAAAAAACAAATTCACATACAACTCGAATAAAAGCCACCGTAATCGACTCTTCTTCATTTTTTTCGATCTCTTCGAATTTCGATAGTGGCAACGGATTATGATAAAAATCATTCAACAGAAGATTCTTCTTCAATTTCAACCGATTAGAAACGCCATTCGCCCTCTCTCCCGTTTCTGCCACCGTTCAACTAATATTAATTTATGGAAGTTCAAAGTAGTTAGTACATATAGTTGCAATTTTTGCTGCCTGTACCTACATCGAAACGTTATGAGGCCCCATTTTTTTCGCATCGTTTCTTTTCTCCCTACTTTCGTTGTGTCCTTCCCTCGTTCCTACTCGGTCCCATCCCTATGTACGTGGTGCAATCCTTTCCTCTCTTTTTCCCGTGCAATATACATGATTATCGTTGTCAGCGATTCGACGGAAACCGACAATCCATTGATGCACGACGTCTGCGTTGTCGACCTCTTCCTCTCTCTCACCCGCGACTCGTCCGGCCGTGAATTATCGTCGAGCTATATTTTATATACATACGATATGTACGAGCGTTTTGTACTTCGCGCTTTGGCCGCGCACGTCCAATTATGGCCGTCGAGCATCCTCTTCCATCGATATTAAATGATAATTTACGGAAAGCAGCGGAACCGTTCGACGCGTTGCCGCCACGTGATACAGTGTCGGCGAGCCACAGAGAGAATCGGGAAGGATGGATTTAATAAGTGAGAGACGAATAGCCGGCCGACGAATGTAACCTTGTGACGATAAAAAAACAAGGGACTGTGTATGACCGAATGATTCATGTCGCCGGATACCAGGGAAACACGGTTCTTTATGACGGAACACAGTTTTTGGTACGTGTTCGGTATAGTAATGAATGTTTGCATTGTTTTCGCGTGGGCAGATGGACGTTTCGGTCAGTTCAGAAATGTAAAAAATTGCTGTTACACTGCAATAGTTTTTTAGGAAACGAGTATTTAAAAACAAGTCGTGCACGTGAATTTTTATATAGATTTTAAATTAGATTCCTAGCCTGCGAACATATTTTCGGTGCTGTAAAACTACAAAATCTAAAAACTATTGTCTTTTTAATAATTAACGATATTTTTTACTGACTCATTTCGATAGTATGTATGAAATTATCTCACGCGTGCAGAGAAGATCGGTCTGAAACAATTTTGCGAACGCGTGAATTACCATTTGAAATAACAGGAGATCTGAATCATCTGTGGTCTCTCTCGTGGAGCCCGTTTTCTTTCGTATCTCTCTCTTATTCTCTATTGGAACCCTCTTTACGTACTGCACCCTCGCCTAGAAGTCATCCCCAGTTTCCTACTCCCGAGAGCTATTAGTCTAAACAATATGGCTGCCAAACGCAGAAAACAATCAATAGCGAGCGTGATGCGCCAACTAGTTGTATAATTTAATTAAGATAACTAAGGGCCAAATCGAACGTGATCTCGGGGCTTTGTCTTACGCTTACTGACATATGCTGAAGTTTGTTTCTCAAATATCGTTTATTTTAGAGTTTCCTTAACACTAACACTTCCCCTCATCGGAGTTAACTTAACTTATACATAATTATAAGATAAAATAAACTGCTTAGACAAGTTGAATATTTGAAGTGATGCTATCATTGGTGAGTCTAAAAGAGACAGGCACTTGAACAAAAAAAATTGCTATACAGTAACGAGGTTGCTTTCTGATTTTTAAGCCATGATAAAGAAGTAATAATTCAGGCTACCCACTAGAAAGTGCATATTCGATGATCAGGATGAGATCTTTCATTTCAAGAAGAAAATACCATAATTACTGATAATGGATTTAATTAAAGAGAAAACTGTTGTATGATTAATCAAGTCCGTCCTGTGAAAATTCTTCTAAAATCATGTATTTCTACCAATTTTCCTATACACAGCGTTATTTACAACTATTTATATCCCACCGTGTAATTATTTAAGTAGGAAACTTCTACCGACGTTTAGTCTCAGCTCGTGGTATTCTGCAAAGGCGAAGAAGCCTGTTGCGCAGTCCTCTATTATAGAAGCTGTGAATTCCTAAACTTACCCTGATGACTATTTTGGACATTCGTTAGCAATAAGGTTATCTAAATTATAAATATGCATAATCTGAAAATGGGTGTCAATATCCTTGATCTTATTCCTCCAACGCGATAGAGGATTGTGGCTGATAATATTTTTATATGTTTTCTCCGAATGACACGGAAAGCTCACGATGTCACCAACGCATGTGCTACACCTCGGCAATCGGTTTCAATCTAGAGGGATGCGACCTCCGGTTTTAGGGTTAAACGTATCCTGTTTTCACGGTGTAAAGTTAGACCAAGTAGAGCACCATTGACACCGGAAAATAGTTAACTGACAGCTGATTGGTTAGTGGCTCGGCAGAACAGATTATATGCAGTGCGAGGCAGAAAAGTTTTCGTAGGAGTTAAACGGTCAATGATTAGCGGCGAAAGCCGTAGCAAGCCATCATCGATGTGGACTACAATCGTCAACACTTTCAGCTTCGAAGCAAATCAACAAGTAGATTGTAATAGTTTGCCACACCGAATTTGTTGACGATTAAAATTTCCAACGATAACGAAACGGACGGAAATAGATACTCGTGAATTCTGTGCAAAGCAAATTGCGAAATTCTGTGATCTTTCAAGATTTGATCAGTCATGTTACCAGAAGCATGTGTAATATGCGATTCGTTTTCATCGAAGCGATTAGGACACTTGAATATCTAAGATCATCTGTCAATCTCGTCAGGCAGACATTTGATCTTCACCGCTCGATAGAGAAATGGCATATGTTGTGCATAGGTCTAAAAGACACGTAGGGGAACGTTTGGAGAGACAAATGGAAACAGTACGGTACTCACCTTTCTTGGGTATCAGGGATTTTAGTAGCATAACAGCGTTTTCGTCGCACGCCCAGCCATGCATCTTCCTGTAGCTATCGCGGCCTTTTTCCGTCAGCTTGTCCCACGGCTTCGGTTTGCTCAGCAACTCGCTAACGGTTCCTTGGCTGAGTCCAAGGATGTATTTGGCAAACAACCTTTGACCGATGTTGTGTATCGACAGCAACTCCCTGACCCTCCTAGCTATGTGCAGCGTGTCCAAATTCTGCGAGGCGTACTTGTCCATGTTGTATCGTAGCATTTCTTGGAGCCTGGCCTCCATGGGATCGCCTTTTGGGATGAGCGATTCGCCCAGCCTCCCGGCCATCCCGGCAGCCCCGAACTCGTCGCTGAATCGAAACGGATGCGTCCTCTCATCGAATCGAAACGGACTCTTTAGTGTGTCCAGCACACTCAAACCGCCGATGTTATTGTTAGCCAGATGATGGCTGTTATTGTTATTGTGACACGATTCTTGGTCTGCCGGACTCTTTGGCGGCGGTGCTGTCGGGACGGCAGGCGTCATGCTCCCACCATTGATCGATGCCGAAGAGGTCGTCGTCTCGATCATCGAAGTGGGCGGTTGAAAGCTTGGCGGTGATGTTAACGCGGTTGTAGAAGACGGCGTCGGCGGTGCGGGCGTTTCGTGGCCCGACACCGGTGTCGGTGCCTTCTCGGCGTCAAGACAACTCAACGGCGTTGTTCCTAACGGGGTATTCGATTTTGCTGGCGTGTTGGAGCTGGACGACGGATCCGTTGGCGATGGAAGATGATTCAGACTATTGGTACTGGTCGGCGGATGTAAACCGATCAATGGCTGTGCTTGCTGTAACTGTTGCTGCGACAACTGACTCAGCGTAGTCGATTGTTGCTGCTGCTGTTGCTGCTGCTGTTGCTGCTGCTGCTGCTGCTGTTGTTGTTGCTGCTGTTGTTGTTGCTGTTGTTGGTTCATGATGGACCTCTCCAACGTCCGCCTCCAGTTGGCGACGATTTCTTCGCCGAGGAAGGAGCCGAAGGTCTCGACATTTTGAAGAGGGGGTGGGAAGAGGAGGCTGGACGTCGTCGAAGTGGCCGAAGACGGTGTCGGAGTGGAACGCGGTGGTATGGAGACTGCTGCCGGGGGCGGCGGGGGTGGTTGTTGGGGGGAAACGTGGGACGAAGGCGGTATACCCCCGACCCCGTGGGGCGAGGCGGTGGAGGCGCGCTGCAGGGGTGACGATAGTCCACCTGCAACCACCAAAATACAAGGGACCGCGTCAACACGAGCTCACACACGCAACCTAGGATTTAGTCTTTACTCGTGTCGTCTGTCGTGGCAGCCGGCAATCTTAAGTTCTTCGGTAGCTTCCTGGACGATAGACGACGGACCGAGACTCTCTTTTTCGACGCTTCGTCGCCTGATCCGTACGCAAACCCACGCAAACGAGGAACAACGTGGCCCAACGAGAGGAAAAATATCGTGTCTCAGTCAAACTGGGTTCAAGTCCCTCTTGATGACATTGTTTTGTTCTGTTTTATTTTGTATATTTTTCGAAACGAATCTCGTCTTCTCCTGCCTTGCAACCGGGCTCTCTCGAGTTTTCTCGTTCGCAAACGATCAAGGAGGATATACGATATCGGTCCATGGAATTTTTAGACGGTTTTTAAGTCCCGCCGGAGGAAGGAGGATATTCTCGTCCCTCGAAAGGTGACAATGCGAGATATTGGGCAGGATTAACGCGTTCTACAGAATCCGGAAACGATGCCGTCCGATTTTCTTCTCTGTAGTGTTCACGGGGCTTCTCTCTCGCTCTGTCGTTCATTGTCTATTTCCCGTCTAATTCATTTAACGATCTTTGTTCATGAAACAACGCTTCGACTCGGACAAATACCACCGCAACGGAGCGAGGCAATACACCGTCCATAAATTTGCGTGTACGAGGTTTGCGTTCCCCAGCGTGCAGATGGCTCGTAGTCGGGTTGAGGTAGGCGGGTTGGGTGTTTGGTCCTCGGGCGGTGTGAGTTGGATTTCAGGAATGATCAGAGACGTCCGTCCATCCAAAGGAGACCGACGTTTGGTAAGGTACGCGGGTATCGGGAGCATATTGTACGTATACTATCGTGCGAGTTACGTTAGTATCTTCTACAACGGCACGTTGATTCACGCACCACAGCGAGAGAGTAGCTCGAAAAATGTGCAATGTAAGCGGTAAGGGATCCCGGAGAAATAGGCAGAACACGGAATCAGACGGATATTAAATGAAAAGTAATGAAAGAAGAAGGAGATGAAACGAAGTACGAGAAAGGGGAGACAAAAGCGCGATAGCGACAGAGAAAATAAGAGAAGTGGATAAACAGCAAAACAGAACCACGATGATAAAACAGTGGAGTGAACGAAATAAGTTAGCGAGAAGATAGTACGGAGAGGGAGAGAGAATAAAAAAGGGAGGAGAGAAAGAGAGAGTTAAAAAAAGAAGTGCGAACACAATGGCAAGCAACAGTTATTTTGTTGTTCCTTTTCTCTCGGTAAGCTCCTTCAGTCATCCCTCGTTCTTTATAAAAGCGTCCGCGTTGCGTGACTCGTGTCCTTTTTGTATTGTTACACGATACCGAGCCCTTCGACGTAGCCTCGAAGAGAGAGAGAGTCGGGAATTGAAAACCAGAACTTTAGCGCAGGAATTAGTAGCGGCGATTCTATGTATCCACAAGGAAGTCCTTAACAGTATCTCGTATTTTGCTAGTAAATGATCTAGCTGCGACTGGCAATAGAATATCTCGAGCAATTCCTGATCTAAAGCGGGCGCGATGATTTATTCAAGAAGTCCTCGATACAGCTGACAGTATCGACAAATTGATTTTAATTTGAAAAGAATAGCGCGAGATTTGATTTTTAAATGTTATATGTATGCTATACATATATTTATATACAATATATATATAGCGGAACAATGCCGGGAAAGTGATTTGGTCGGACTTACCGAGGGCGTCCGGAGTGCTGGATGGCTTCAAGCTCTCGGTTTGCTGAAGCGCCTTTGAGCGTTCCATTAGAAGGTGCTCCAGGCTCTTGCCGGGCTCGCCGGTCGGGATCTGCGAGAGATCGACCGACCTTAGCGCGTTTATCTCGCGTTTTAGGTCGTCATAGTCCCTCTGTCTTTCCAGTTTACTCTCCAGTCTGTTAATGTGCTGTCTGCGAGCCTCGAGTTCTTCCTCAAGCCGCGCCGTCGCCTGTGCGCTCGTTTCCTGAAGACGCTGCAGACTCTGCTGTAACCTGGACACTTCCTCAACCAACTGGCTGATCTGCAAGCAAACATTTGGTTCGCCAATTAATTCGTTCCACGACTGAAGGCATTGTACATTAGAAAACGTAAGAATGCGAATGAATAAATGAATTTGTACATCACTAAATGTTTGAACATTATCTGTTAAAAGATATTAAGGCTTCGCACAGTCTAACTAGATGACAGTTCGACAGGCTCTAAGAAACGGTGTAACATTTAGAGAGACTGTCGATCGCGAAACAAAATAAATATCGCAGACGATTAGAATGACACTAGTACACGTATATTCATAGAGAGTATCATTATGAAAACCCCGAATCTCCTTACCTGAATCGTTGTTAGACAATAGCACTGTCTGACACTAAATATAAAATTTTTAGTCATTTCATTGAAATTATATTCCTGCAAATACTTTTATTGACCTCGCTGTACGCGTTACCTTACAACTATACAAACGAGAAAGGAGTATGATCGTTCCAAAAAGATTATCAAAGTTTTCAATTCCCCAAAGCGTCTTCGTGTTTTCTCTGTATTCATTAATTAATTTACACTCTAGCCGTACCGATAAAATGAAGCCCCAGTCGTCTCGCGAGTAATTGTACAAAGTATCATCGTATATCGCAACGGTATCGGTGGTGGTTAAGCGAGGCGAGCTCACCAATCGGTACCTGTTCCCGATTGTCATGAAGCGAACGCGAACGTAATTACATTACCATTCGATACAAATATAGAATCACATTCACAGAATCCGCAGCCATGGCCGCCTGTCCTTTCCGTCCCCTTGAACCGCCACGGTCCGCTTCCGGGGGTCGTTTATCAGCGAGTAAGTAGAAGCTCTTTATTAATTTTATCGAATTGATTGTACCGAATCGATATCAGCCGTTTTAGAGGATGGGATAACTTTAAATCTCCTCGGATCCGAATGTAATTACCGACGGATTAAGTTACGCTTGCTCGTGTCATATCACTTGCACTTTTACGATAATTATTATCAACTTGTCTTTTATGACTACAATTTTATCAAATTATTATGTTAATCCTTGAAATAAGAAATACTTGGGGCTGATTAAATTATCACACTAGCTCTTAGTTCCATTCCACAGTTCCTTTGCATAGCGCAAATAATGCAGTGATTAAATTGAATTGTCCAGTTGCACATCAATTATTCTAATTCTGAGTAAACTAATTAATCAGACGAGAATTCGAATCGCATCTAACAATTTTATTCGAGCTCGAATGAGTAGGTATGAATACATGACTGTAAATGCGGTCTGGAGAAAAAAGATGCAATGGGTGGGCGAGAAAGAAAAAAGATAATATAGAGAGAGGCCAGAGAAAACAGGCAAAAAAGGGAATGAATGGTAGATCAGGTAGAGGTAGAGAAATAGAGGAAACAGTCGGAGAAGAAATGCTGTAAAATCAGGGCAAATGCTTGACGATAAGTATTTATAAAAACAGTAAGTATAATGTTCTGTCTAGGACATTATAATGAATGGTATTATATGACCAAAATCTCTGAGAAATATACATATAAAGAAACATTGATACATGTTTCATATAGTGCCAACTCTGCTGATTTGACGACGTCTAAGCAATTTAATATTATAATATATCAGGGATTTTAGTCATTGAATCTTGATGTGTAGGGCGAAGAAGAATGTGCAATTTGAGAATCACGAAATTCTGCGGATACCATTGAAATTGAAGCTTCAACCTTCAGATGTAAGACTACATAGCATCAAAGTGGAATTAAATAAATGTCAAGGCATCATGTATTGCATTAAAAAATCATGCAGACATCGATATGTACTATTAATTTTACTCATAATAATGAAACAATTTTATTTTTACACAGTAAAGTACAATTTAAACGAATTGTTATTTTGCAAACACGATAATCGAAACATCAATGTCATCGATATTTGCGACACGAACGAAGGTATTCCTTTGATTCCTGTGATGAACATCAGTCGAGCTGCATCATAGGTGTAACCAATCGACTTGCGGCACGATCAATTGCAATTAATCGCGAGCGCTCTAAAACTTTCGAACCGAAATCCATCTACATCTACGTGTTACGTGACCGGCTACACTCGACGAAAATATCTGTAGCGAGAGCGTGCAGAGGGTAGGTGGCTAAAGGTGGAAAGAGAGGAAAAGTGGAAGAGAGAGAGAGAGAGAGAGAGAGAGAGAGCTAACAGCAGCCGAGAGGGGGACGATTTTAAACCTGAATGCGTTTTGCACGGTGCAACGGGCGATGCGAACGAGATCGTATCAATTGTTTTTCCCCGGTGAGGCATCATCCCTTTTCCGGGGGTTAATTGAGGAGCAAAGCCTCAATTTCGCGGAATTCACGCCTCCGGCATGCATCGACAGGTCTAGCCGATAGAATGAACTGCGGATTTTTTCTTTTCTTTCTTGTTTCAACGGTGTTTAACAAACAGACGTGCCTTCGTTTTTTCTTCTCTCCCATTTTTCACACTTTCCTCTCGAGGAAATGCGATTGCAACAGTAATTGAAGCGTGCTAAAAGAGAAGCGTTGTCGAGCTTGACGATTGCCTTCCTTAAAAATTAAATTACAAATCCGCGTCTTTTATTTCTGCACTTATATAATAATATACAAGATTCTACATGTAGTATTATATTTATAACTTTTATGGGGAAAATTATTGAAATTGTATTTTTTGCATAAAAATCGTACGTATGTTAAATTGAGCTGAAGCATAAAAATATTGATGCGTTACCATTAATCTTTAGACCTTGGCAACATAACACGATACTATGTTGAAGATGCGGTGTTCGATATAATGTTTAGTTTATTCATCAGGGGCAGTTACCTGACAATTGTCCTCCATTTTAGTCGCAATCGATATACGCCTACAGCTTAAAGTTACCTTAGCCCGTGTTTCGATCACACGACGACGGGGTCGGCGGGTTACAGATAAGTACGCATCGACGTTCTATACACGTGAAGCGAACGTGCGCGGGGGGGTAAGTGGGTGTAAGTTCCCAAAGTTGTTCGTAATAATGTCCGCCATTAGTAATGGGGTAGGTTATCGCTTTGCGAGCGAAGCTGAGAGGAAGGACAGTTGGAATTAACAGCGTGTCGATATCGTCGTACTTATCCCCGTGAATAGGGACAATCAACCAAATGAATCTTTTTCAAAAATAGGGAAAGTAAAATTCTTACATCTAATACAGACTTAGAAAGATTTTGTGTAGATTATTTTATTAAATTCTATTCAACAGCGAAATTGCATTAGCACGATTTAATTATTGCTGAAAACGTTCAGCAGCTAATTTTGTATTTTGATTGTCCTACTTAATTTTCATCTGTATTTCTAATACGAAGAAATTGCAGAATTGAACATAACAATATTCTGAAATATTCGATTTCATAAGCCATTTGTTTAGGATGTATCGTCGCGAGAAGTGAATAGCGGTAAATTGTCCCTAACGACTTGACGCTGTTAAATACTCAATTGGGCTTGCCGGATTTGCCAGAGGAGAGACGAGCATATCGTCACGCTACTAGAAACTCAATCTAATGACCGCGCTACTAGAAATTTACTAGGTCTTATATACTGCTAGAAATTCAATTAGCCAGCGTGCTCCTAAGGAATTAGTAGATTACCCGGCTATCAGAAGCTTAATTCGAACCGCTGCTGCTCTCGAACTAACGGTGGCCGCGTTGCTTCAGGAGAGCATCGATAACACGAACGAACCGTTTTACGTTTCGTGTCCGCGGATTCGTTAAATTTAATGTCCCTCGGTCGTTCGTAAAATCTGCGGTTCCCAATTGTTCGGATCCCGTACTCGTTGCTCTTCGTATTGAATTTCGATCTTGCCCTAGATCTCAGATCGGCTTGTGGCATCCTCGCTGAATAGAGCTATTCCATGGACAGGAGAGATCATACATTTTTTTGTCCCGCTTTTTGATCATTCAATCCGTCTGGCCGATATGTTGCGGTAATGAAAGCTACGAGTATACGAGGATACGGTTTGAGGCCAGTAAAATCGTACTGTGCTTGAAAAGACTACAAAAATATAAACTGGATGCGCACAGGAGAAATCCGATATCATAAATTTTTGATACGTTCGGTTGGGAACCGAACCACACGTTAAAATGTATCGATCTCTTCGGAAGCAAGAGGTTTCGAAATAATAGGTGAGAAGTTAATCTAGCTCGATATAGGTATAGGATACGGATAATAGTAGAAACGAAAGATATTAAAATATACAACGTGTGTTCCATGCTCTTCCTGTTCTACTCGTCTCATTATCTTCTTTTACTTTTATCGGGAGAGAGAACAGAGAGGAACCTGCGTAATCATAATTTTTATGATTCATCGTTCTTTCTCTCTGCTTCCCCTATCTATACCTCTTGTACCTTTTCATGGGGAACAATCTAACCACCGTGCATAACTTTTATCGGTATCAATTCTTCGAATCATTTAACGTTTCTTGTTTAAAGCTACTCTTTTATTTACATTTACTCATTTATATTTTATTGTTTAGAAATTTTTAGTAGCATTTATAATAATAATAATAATATGTTGCTCCCGTCTCTCAACTGAAAGGAAATAAAGTAATACAAGAATTTTAAATAATCGAGCTTCCCTTTTTTCTCGAAAAACAGGGCGTAATCACGTAGCATCGTTCGACCTATTATTTCTTCCGGTGACTCGGTGCTGCTCACCCTCGACTACCCGGAGGAATCTTCGTGTTGGGACAATGTCATTGATAGAAGCAGCAATTCTCGTTAACGGGATCCTCGGCCGAAAGGGGACGACGACGACGAGTCAGCGTGCGCACACGGCCAGTGACCACGAGAAACGGGTTGCTCTTTAGTGGTATGAGGTGCCGTTACGGGCAAGGCGGGGGAGGGGGTAAAAACAAGCGAGGCTTGATCGATGGTCGCGTAGCGTGGCGGGGGCAGCGGTGGCTAGGACGAAGGTGAGTCGGACCGGAAGACATGATCGGCCGTATGCAAATTAAAGCGGAGCCGAAGGCGTCGGG